ACCTGGTTTTCACTGCACGGCCCGTCTTTTTTTACAGCTTTATTTAAGATATTTTTCTTTGTTTTGGTCGCTGCTTCAGACAGTGGGAAAGAAGGGCAGATACGAATAAAATAACATTTTACTATTTTTAGAGATAAAAATTATCATAGAAATGTTTCGTAATTGTAGAGATGTGAATGAGTTTGAGGGGAAAGTGTCTTGTCGTAAAGTTGCACTGCCTGACTGCTTTGAGCGAGACATCATGTACACCTGAGTACAAATTTACAACAGTATTCCTTGTTTAAATTAACAAACTCAGTGGACGAGAATGCTTCAGATAGTAAAGAAACAATTTTTGTGGAACTCTAAGGTACATTACCATGTTCACTGGTCCCTATCCGTAGACAGATGAATCCAGTCCAGAAATCTTTTACACAACTGTCTTAATATTATGATTCCATCTATATCTTCGTCTTCCAAGAGGTTTATTCGCTCCCAGTTTCCCACCAAATATTTATATTACGTTAATTTCTAAATGTTCAAAACACAGTGTCTCTAAAATCCACCTCCCCGTTAATGCGTAGGTGTATTGAAATTGAACTAGAAAGTCCAAATGAAATTAATTGATCATTTAATGCGAAAGGTGGCGAGAATATTAATTTTTAAGCAAATCCTGTTCATCTTAGTCTGTGCAGAAATGAAATGGAAGTTTGTTAACTTTCCTGGGTTAACTTATGTAAAAATCTGTTTTAATGTATACTCAAAACTAATTGCGGTGGATCACTGAAGGCAGATGAACTAAAGATTATAAGCAAACAGCTGTAACGAGAAAATTGTTCCATTCGGGGAAGATATTTATCAATATTACGTGATAGAACAAGATTTCAAGTTAAATATTTCATGAAGCAAATAATAACAGCCATGATTTCAACAGAACATTAAACAGAGAAAATTTATTTATCCCCAAAATATCACTGATATAAAATCGACTAAATATCCATTTAAATTTGATCGTTTTTAGTTTACCACTAAATTATTTCACTATGGCAGACAGTAAGATTCATAGTCTGTCTGTAACCTTTTAACCTTCACCTGGTTCAGCAACCAATAACGTTTAATTTATTATTTATATTACGCGTGATTCTAATAATAATCAGATATTATGGCCATAACAATATTAACCGGTTGATCTTTATAACTAAGACGTCGCGTGTTTTCTGTGCTGTACAGACTTTGTCTTCTAATATCATTGATAACAACTGAATGCTTCAAAGGGTTAAGGAGATATTTTTCATACATTTTTGTTGTTGTCCCGCTGTCTCGCTGTTCGTAGTATCATTAATTTGTTTTTTTTATATAATAGTTCTAATGCTATAAAATAAAGTTCAAATGAAATCAGAACTAGCGCAATATTTTTCGTTCTGCTAGTAGTGCAACCCATTACTTCGCAAGCCGAATGTATCACAGACATATATTTAATTCTCGCGGTCAGTACAAGCAATTTGCAATATATTTTTAGTGTCGTTTGTAATATTACTGGTCATGACACAGTGTCGTCTTGTACGTGGTTACTGGCGTTTCGTAAGATCAAAATCGACATATTTTTTCTCTCTCAAAACACACCTACGGATCACAAGGATATTCGGTCCAGATGACCACAAGAAACATTTTCACAGCCGTGAGAACATCAAATTACATCTTATTTTTCCTTCTATTTTATTAAATACATATCACAACAAAAACATATTTCAAGTAGATTATGTCTATATTTAAATGGTTTTAATTATATGTAAATTAAGAATTATAAAAGTACTATACATATCAAGTCGGCTATCAAATTTTACTATAGATCTTAAATACAAACTTAAATCGACATTCCTTGGGTAATTTTGGAGATGAAACACGCTAAATACGAACTCGCGAAGTGAGGTTGACAATACGTGTTGCGATCCTGACAGACGCCATCTTTTGAGCAGAAGAGCCCAGAAAAGTTACAAGAATCGACGCTCACAAACCGACGCCGAATGTTAGACTATTATTGCGACGCCATCAAAAGATTCCATATATCAACAGCTGACGATCATTGGGATGCCCT